AGTTGACTAAATTTAGCTGCAAAATATTGAAGTTTAGTTTATCAGTTTATTTTTGCAGTTTATTTAAGCAATCAAATAAGCAAAAAAGATGTTGTTGTGGCTAAAAAATAAATAAATAATCAAAAGTTTAACAGCTATCAGTCAGTTTTAAGTCTTTTTTTTTTTGTTAAGCAAAAACACCAAATAAAATTATGACAGTTTTCTAAAAAATTTACTGCAGACCAAAACTTTATGATATGTTAAAGTATCAAGTTTTCCAATTGATTTTCAAGCTCTTTTTTAGTTTTTTTTTAAAGTGGACATTTTGATAGTGAAAAACGAAAGAAAAAGAAGGGAGCAGAAGAACAATTCTGTTTATTCAGTTATCAAATCTTATTCCACTGTTCTTTTTATGATGTTAATTTGTAATTGTTAAGTTTTTTCACCTTTTCAACACCTCACCTGTTTGTCTACAATTCTGTTCAGTCTACATCGCTTTTTTTTCTTTAAGTCTGTTTCATTTAAGTAAATAATCAGTTTAGCGTCAACTTATTAACTTATACAGCAGTCTGCATAAATTGCAAGAAATGCCATTTGTTTGATTAAATAAGGTTTATTGATAGTAAAATGGCTAATCACATCTTATTATAAATTATAAAAGTTGCTATTATTTTTCTTTTTAAATGCAGTAATCTCTAAAAAAAAGAAAAAAAACAGTTTTTTTTTCTCTACAAAAATTACTAATACTGTTTAACGCTATAACGTATTAAAAGCGTCTCAAGACTGTGCTTAATTTAATCTGATATGAGACCTTGACGCCTAGACTTTTGTCTACTGATAACCAAATAAATGCTTGAAGTTTTAGTCAACTAAGCTCTGGCATCATATTACAAATATGTTGATGACAGTATTTGCTGCCTGTCTAGCGGAAGCATCATGTTAAAGCATAGAACAATTACGTTTAGGTTCTCCTCCATTTGTTTTCAACAACTAATTTCAGCGCAAACAGCACTTATCCTTCCTTCCAAGTGAAAAACACGGCTAATAAAGAAGTCTTTGAGATTGTAAACAATAAACAGATCATTGACAGCTTCTGTTAGTGTAAAAAGTGTTCAGCAAAAGTTTTATTTGAAATTGTTTCTTCAGCTTGCCTATATGAATTGTTTCCAGTGCATTAATGTTGCAAAATATCTGCCCAGATTGAGATTTCAATCAACATATTCAAATGTTTGAAAAATGTTGGTATGAGACTGCTGAAAATAAACTTATCATTTGGGAAGGCGTTTGTGCTTTTTGGCATCCTCTGGACAAAAATGTTACCCTGGTAAAACTTGGGCGCTCTAACGAAGCAACTTTTTTATCATTTGGTCTTTGGAATAGAAAAGTAAGTTTAAAAAAAATTCTTTTTTTTTGTTTGTTTTACTTTTTAGTGTTTTTTCGATCAAAGGTTAGTCAATATTTCTTGATGTTTAATTATTGTTTGATTAATTGAATTATTACCAAATTGCTTACTTAAACCAACAAAGAACAAAAGAATAGTACGAAAATTAACTGCAAACAAGTGTACACAAAACTTATTCAAATAACTATTAGAACTTACTCTACAATTTTACGAATCTAATTACAGATAACTTCTGAAGGCTATTGGATGTGTGCTGAGCTTTGCGGCTGTTATGCAGATGGAACTAGATTTTTTTATCACAGCAAATCTCCTACAGAAGCCATACACTTACTAACGGTAATCAATTGTTGCTTTCTACACTACTTTCTTCAAATAACACAGAAAATATTCTAAGGAAAAGGTAGAGATTTTTCTTACTTTTATAAACTTACTGAAACTATGTTAAAAAAATTAAGTAAATCTCATTTTCTTTTTAGTTTTCTAGAAACTAGTCAGTACTCTTAGAATTTAAATTACTTCTTTTGACTAGATAACAAAAACCATCAACCTTAAAAAGAAAATTTTTGGTCTCCTATTGATCAAAAACTTAAGGCGAAATGTATTACGAAAACACAGTTTTTTCCACCAGATAATTTATAAAAAAAACTTTTTTACTTTTAATTATAGAAAAAAAAGTTATAAATATTTCTAAAATAAACAGCAACGGCTTCCGCATCTTATAAAGTGTTTAAGCTCTTTCTTATAAAATTTAATTATTTCTTCAGAATCTATTTTTTAGCACTCTTAATTGAGTTCTGATTCACCCTGTTGAAAATAAGACACCCAACATAGTTTTTAGAATATCTTATAGGAGGTGTCGCTGCGCTTGGGCTCTGAACTTCAGGACTTAACAATCAGAATTGATCCAGACCCATTTCGTAGAGATAATAAGCAGTGGATAGAAGACCGTTTAAACGTTTGGCAGTCGCTGACTTCAAGCTTTCCTCTAACTGACTTCAAACTCGTATTGGATTCCAATATGCCACTGTAAAAGCGTTAGCCGACATATACATATGTATGTATATAAATAACCGATCTGTGCCAAAGATCTAGTGCCTTGTACCTCAAAACGACATTCCTTCTTTTTTTTTTTTCTTTGCATTGGCACACAAAATGAAAACTTTATATGTAACTTGTTCCTATTCTCAATGTCTGACCGGAACATATTTTTTTCAAACTTAAAGTTAAAAGATTTGTAGCCAAAAAGACTCAATTGAAAAAAATTTTTATTCAGAAAGAGGTTTCAATGAGCGAAACCAATTTCAGATACAGTCGTAAATTTCTTACTTAGTATGAACCCCCTTCCCCCGTTTCAAAGCAAAAATATTACATCTTTTGGACCTCTTGATTTCAACAGTTTTTACAAAAAATGCCTCCTAAAAGTTTCACTGCTTTGCAAAACGTTGTTGTTTGTGCTGAATTGGAATAAATCAATGTCAATAGTTGCTGTTTAAAATCACTAAACAGTTCAAGATCACCAAAAGGCTTTTGTAACCATATTTTACAGATACTCCTACCGGTAAATGCATTCACTGATTCACGAGAAGGTTCATTTAACAACTAATACTTTCACTTGTTTCCTGCCTCAAATGTTTATCTAG